TTTCCCCCACTATATCACTTTCCCCCACTATTCTTTTTCTCCTATATACCTGAATCAATCAAAGGCTATGCAAGATATTCGATTAGGCGCTAATCCTAAGATCAACAAGCGGTAGATATAATATATTAGTAGTTGAATATATATATATGAACCTGGCTATCTAGGCTCTAACATGCAGTGACCCCGATTGACCTCAGATCAAAATTCTGATGCATCGTTCAACTGCAACTGCGAAGTTATCTATACTTATGCTCCAATTGATATTGAAGATAACAGCAAAAAAGTTAATGTATTTTTAAATGAAGGTTCAATTGTTTCCTTTCTTTCACTCGATTGATTTCTTTAGTCTTAATTGACTCTGTATAGTGTGTGTCTTTCTTAAATATCCGGTCATTATGCTTATATCAAAGCCAGATGATATATTGCCATTTAAAACCAGAGACCTCCTCAAGAAAATTGACCAAATAGGAAAAAATACTCATAATTGCAAGTAATGCTTTAAGCGTTTTTAACAATATTCTTCTATATATTGCTGCGTGGTTGTCTGTAGACTCGGAGAAATGAAGATATCTTTGTTTAAAACATGCAAATGATTACATCATAACGTTATAAGTTCGCCGGGGACGCGCATAAGTCGGTGTATATTCAATTTCAATCGTGCATGAATGAAATAGGCTAAATGAAAGGTCAAAAATTTCTGCGATTAAGTATTCGTGTTGCAAACACTTGCCAATTGTATACCGGTTCGAAATATGAGTATTCTAGGCTTGACTATGGCAACAAATTGAATCTCATTTTTTATAATCATTCACCTTACAAATTGCTCTTGCTAAAAGTATTTATTTAATAAAAGCTATCTTGAATTAATATGAGTGTATGATTGTAGAAGCCTTCTAAATCTTTCTAGGCGTATAAGAGTTATATATAGGCTATATACCGTTTTAGAGCTTCTATTGCATTACTATTATGTAATGTGTCATATGTATATAATGTGTCTTAAACATCGCAATTCTTGAGTGCGAAAAGCATACGTCTTAATAATCTGCTAAAATTAACGTTTTTTTTATTTCATTGACATTGTGCACTAGGCACACTCTATCTTGAACCACAGAATTCGCAGGCAGAACTAACCTGAATCGTTTCTTGGTCTTGTAAAAACGGTTGTTATCGATCCAACTGTCAAGGTCTGCAAAATTAAGATCAGGCAATATTTCCCATACATGTTGCCTACTGACCTTCCCGCATGTATACTGACAAGTACGTATAGTGAGCTAAAACCAGCCACGCGCACTTATACGCGATATATGGACACAGTTATGTATTATGATGTAAGATTCAAAGAGTTAAATGAGTATTTCCGTTGGGTTAATTATTATGGAGTACAATCTGGGGAATATCACGCAACGGAATAATATAATGTGTGAGCAAATTTTGTGAACAATAACTATAGCTTATGACGAGCTATGACGACAATCTGTGAAAAAGTTGATGGATGCACCACCTACAATAACACTGGGCCTATGACAAACGCAATAAAAACATTGCAACTTTCACATATTAATAATTTATTCTGCCTTTGGGCTGTTTATATAGCCCGGCTAGCCGGGCCGACGCGGTCGCTATATTAAACAGACCTGGGTGGTTGCCAAGTGAAAATTGGCGGGGAGTCCTGTGTTTACGAGTTGATAGTGTATGGGATTTAACAAATAGGTTGAAATATAACATTGTTCAGACTTACCTCTATTCAACAGACTGACCTTAATTGTAAACTGATGTTGCTAATGAGGTTTAACACATATTTACTTTACTGTTGAAATTAACAAATTATGGAATAATTATGAGCTTATGAATGAGACTATGTTCACAGAGTGTACGAACAGGAGATTGGTTCACAGTTTAGTTCACAGAGATTTTTTTATTTTTATGAATGCGCTCCTTCGCAAGAAGGATTGGAAACCGAGCGAGTGGGCCTAGCGATCGATCATTCACAACGCGTGCAAATAAAATCGTACAAAAGAGCCAACCATATTAGAAGTAATTACTTTGCTTATTTTATTAGTATAGAGATTAACTTCACAATGGCAAGCTTTCAGAAAGCAAAGATGCAGCGAGTACAAGACCATATTTATCGCAACTTCGTTTCGTTTCGTTTTCATTTACGGAAATTTGCCTTTGACTACCGCGAGTATAGGATGAATGCATATATACAGGGTGAGTAAAAAAAAAGTCCCCCTATTGAAATGAAGCCTTTGTTGATTTGAATGCATGATCAACGCAGTAGTGTGTAAATAGCATAGTTATTAGGTTGAGGCATTCAAATAAAGCGTCTTGCTTTCAATTGGGTTTATCATAATATTAAGGCAATCAGATTCTAACAAAGGCTTGATTTCAATAGAGGGGACTTTTTTCTGACTCACCCTGTATGTTTTTCCAAATTGGAAACCGAAAATTAAGCTGTCGAAGTTTCCGTCCTGGAGTGTTAATATAAATCACTAGACTAGTCAAGTTATAAACATACATAATTATCCCCGAGCGGGCGCGGAGCGCCTGCGAGGGTACTAATTCCGCTCGGAGATTAGGAATTACACCCGGAACCCGGTAGAACATGGGCGGATCCAAAGTTGTCCAAATTCTTTGTCATGGACGGTCGACGTTGGGTGGTTTTGTAAGTTATGCGCATGCGCGAGTAACGTCTTTTAATCAACGAACGTTCTGATTGGCTAAGACAGAAAGTTTGTATTTCAATGAGAACGTCAGCAATTTATATTAACTGTCAACTTTGTATGCCGTTTATTTGTTAAATTTTAGCTTTTTATGCAAACGCATAAACCTGTGAAAGGCTATTACACCTTTGCTTTAACTTCTAAAAGTGTTTTTGAAAGTGAAATTTGAATTTTAATATCAAAAATACACACTATATTTATAAAGTATAAAACTTTTTGCCGCCGGCGTCGACTGCAATTACAGAATAAAATAACATTTGAAGTTTTTTCTTTGTCTGTGAAGATTTTGTACTGTTTTAATCGTTTGAAACTTCGATTTTAAACCGTTACTTAATTGCTGGCATGGTATAATGCAGAAAAATTGAACGGGGAATGTTTACACTAGCTTTATGATTATTTTTGTATTGAATCATTAGCTATAATATATTCGGTAAAATATAATAAGACTGATTTGAGTTTTGTGTCATTTCATAATATAAGTTTAGGTCAGGTTAACTCAGAAAATTGTGTACTTGGTTTGAAATAGCGAGGGGTTGCTGCATGCACGTATTTCTAGTAAATCATTAACACAGCATTGACAACTCCTTAAAGGTCTGTTTACACGATCCAATTTTGTTGGATCCATGCAATTCACTTTTGGCGCATGGAATACAGTTGATGAAGCTGTAGCGCATTGAAGTGTATTGACTTCAGTGGATTTGCTCATCCATCACAAGTGAATTGGATCCAACAAAATTGGATCGTGTGAACAGGCCTTTAAACCGTAACAATCGTTTGTTAAAGTATCGTTGAATCGTTGAGGAATCGTAGATTATAACTAACCTTCATTCCTGTCAATCTTGTCAATCCGCAATTTAAAGAGTTTCTAAGAGTGTCCACACATCTTATATATAATACACTGGATAAAACACTGACTATGCATAGCTGAAATCATCTGGAATATTCAGTTTTCAGAAGCACATCAATTAAAATCTGGAAGAAAAATTTTGAATCTATCGACTCCAGAACAGTCAAATTGTACGATCGTTAAATAATCAACAAGAATATAGTGATAGGGTAAAGCGTTATTTGCTTTTAGAAAATAAAAAAGTTTAAAAGATCGCGCAGCGTTGTGCTGGGTTGTGGGTCTGTAGACCGTTAAATGTGAAAAGTTGCATGTCTTGTTAATTTTAACGGTTGCGCGATGACGTTTCTACTTTCTATGCAGACATTGACACGTTTCTAGCGCGTGGATTCAATGTTTATGTCTAAAATTTAAACGTTGCTGACAAAAATGGCAAACTGAAAAGAATGCCGAAAAATGACAGAACGTTAAAGCCAAGCCCTATATCGAAATAAAATTAACGTGAAAAATATTCACATTTAACGTTTTACCAAAATCCGCAGTAAAATAATTTTTATAACCATTGTATAAACTGGTGTTAAATACAAAGTCCTACTGAAAAAAATTTAAAGCCATTAATTGCACAATGTGAAAAAATAGATGCTGGGGAAAAGAAATAAACTAAAAAATCATCAAAAATACGAAAGTGAATAAAAAACGCTGTAAATCACCCACTTATCTGGATAGATTTAGCAGATCTGCTAAGATCATAAGAGAACTGCAATTTAATTAGGTAGTTTTCAATGAATAGATTCTTTTGCAGGTTTTTCCTGAAGCGTTGTCTTTACGGCGCAAAGGGTTCACATTTGTCGTAAGAGTCTGAAATTACTTTGTCTGAGATCATCCGTGTGCATACTTTGTCTGTCGGAAAATAATACACTGATGGATCCCAAGATAATAGAAAAGGGAAAAACCCCGCAAAAGTGCGATTAATCTATAGCAACCTCGTTCCCAGGGCCTTGGTGGGAAGGGGGCGAGGTGGAGAGAAGGGCTTGGCAAAGGCTGGTATCACGTGACCAAATTGGGGGGATTAAATTAGATTATATTAAAGACAATAATTGTAAAAGGGTTGCTTCTAAAGAAAGATTTCACCCTTGTGCTTGCACTTCGCTCTAAAAAGTTGTAGCATGCAACGGCGGAGGTGTCTGTAGTTAAATGCAAACTCGCCTGAAGTATTTAGTGGGTATATAATCATAGACACATTATACGAATTTGAACATGAAATATTGTGTAAGTGTATTTAAAAAGAAAGGATTAACAGGTCGTGCAATAAAGATTTCGTTGTTATATGGAAAATCTTTTTTCATCTAAAATTTATCAAATCATCTAAAATTTAATTAAATGTTCGTTTTAATTGTTTGCTATTAAAAGGGCAAGTAATATGTTTGTTTTGCTTATTTTTTCAGTCCAAATACTCGCGGACGGATTTTCATCGATGTTGATTTCAGGGAATAATGATACCCTTTCCACGTACGCCAGTGGATACCATCAGCATATGGGTTGTATGCACCATGATGATACAGACCATTGAGATTAGATGAAATGCAGTCACTATACCACCAAGCACCCTTGAATGACACAGCACAGTGGCTGCTATGTCTATCATTGTCGGAATCTTTTGTTGAGAACGACATTCCTTTGTGTTCAGTGAAGGAATCTCCTGCATTGCCTAAATTAGATTTAGAAAATTGTAACATTCCCTGTAGATGGTAGTGGTCATATGCTTTGGTGCAAATAAACCATTCCAAATAAAACCAAATATTCAATTGGAAAAATTCGTCGGTTCAGATTTGTGCAGCTGGAAAAAGTGTTCCTGAAAATTCGCAAAATTAGAAATTTTTTGCGCGCGATACTAAAATACACAAATTTTTGAAGTTCAGATCAGGGCCGAAGCTAGACCGTTTAGTTTTGGCTGGGCGGTTGTATATTCGTATATTCATGTTTAAATATCGTTATCAGGCGTAACCCGAATAATATTAATATGCACCCTCCCGATTACGTTTCTAGCAGCGATGTCCCTGCTCAGTCGGACATTAGCGAAGTTCCCAGCCAAAACCTAGAATAATTGGCTCGTGCAAAACATTAGAATGTACTGCTGCTTGACAATAATCACAATATGCGAATAAAACGAAAACAGATAGATATTAAAGAACTTTGGTAATCATAGAAAAGCACATCTTAATTTGTTTCAGCTATGTAATAATAACGATAAAGCAGAACCGCTAAAAAAGACAACAGTATTTAATTGTTACACACACCAGAATAAGTCCCAAGACTAAGCTGATATTTCTGCCGTTCGCTGGTCACAGCAAACAAATCATATTCTGCGTATCTTCTGTTCCCAGAAGTGTCTTCCATATCAATACGAAGCTCATTTTGCGAAGCGGATGTAAGCCTGCGGATTTTTTCCAGTCCAAGCCAGAATTCTCCCTTCAAATCACCAAAGCCATGCTTATAATCTTGCCATCCTCGGTAGAAATCAACACTGCCATCAATACGACGTTGAAGCACCGTCCATCCTCCACCAGATGTCGTCATATCACAGCGAACATTGAAACTGCCCTTGCCGTCTGGATCTATCTTGTAAACTCCATTCTGTTTTACACCTTTTTTGTACAAATCAGCACAATGTTTACCTAAAACCATTACAATTTTTTAATTTTATTTTATAATTATTTGTTTAGTTTGCACCACTTCTCCACAGCCTCCTAGGACGCGTGGTGACACCGAAAACGAGTGTACCTCTGGAATATATAAATAAGTCCACCCCACTTAACAAGCTGGTGCCGCCACTGAGACGGGATGTTTGCCGGGATGAGACAATGACCGCGGGATCTCGCCTTGTATATGTTTGTATAATATCTTTCGTTCGGTGTTTATATGAAACTAGGATTTTTTTGTCCCGTCCCCCCATTTGAACGCCTTCCTTAAATATTTCAAATAACGATTAATGACAAACATGGCACTGCTTGCACTGTGTTTACAACATTCATAAGCGAAGTTCATCACTAGTTTTGTTAAGTTCCAAAGAGTTAATTTTGAATGCTTTTAGTCCCAAACTCTCCCTAGTGGAAATTTGCGATTCTTACTAATACATTTTGTATCAACATCGGACCCGATCATTTTTTGTACGTCCATTTGGTTATGAAAACATGTCATTCCATCGTTAAAAGCCTGTACTTTCGGAATGAGTAAAAAAATTCGTTTATAGACTGAGTAGTTCACGCACAATGGCGTGTTAAAGTTGGATTACCTTTTCAGTATACACCCTGTATACTTATCATTTATAGACCTTCCGCTCGGGGAATTCGACGAAATATTACCCCCTCGGGAAGATATATCCCGAGGGCTTATCGAAACAACGTGTAGGCAGCGCAAAAGCTGGGTGAAATAGCTTCTTTTGCCTCCATTTTGAAATTGTTGACAACCTCGAGTCGTGTGCGAGGCATCCACGCGTGGTACACGCAAACTCGAATACCCGCTGCAGCGGGGTATTCGACTTTTATAGCATAATGTGAAAAAATTCGATGGAACTCCATGATCAAATTACTGTTCACGTGGTATAAATCGAGCTTTCTGATTGGATGATTTACAGTTGAGATATAATATTTTAAGAAAGCCTATAAGCAGCTCAGTCAATGCGGTTACGTCACAGCATATATATACATAAGATAGACAAGATACTAAGTATTTACCGCATTTTCTGAGAGTTCACTGATTGCAAGTTCTTTGATAAACACGACTGAAAAGCATCGTTATATTTTAAACATTACTGAAATGAGCTTGTTGGTTTACCTTTCACTGTATTTGAATCATTGATACAGACGACTGATTTCCCCAGTGTTTTCTTTAGTTCCAGTAATTCAGATTTCATCTCAGACAACAATGTCTTTATATTCATCATGTCAGATTTACAAGCACACTTTCCAGCCGTGGTGGTGCTAAACGTTTAATTCCAATACGTTTTAATTAAAACACGAGTCTTGAATTTGCGGGAAGTACCCAGTGCATATGGCAAATGTTTAAAAACGTATGATTTTTTAAGGTTTTCTCCTTCTTATAAGTTTATATTATAGCGGGTTAATTGGGGGTCGTTTTCAAAGGTAATGCTCATGCTGTTGCACAAAAGAAAAATAATATAAGTGCATATACCACTTGTGGGATCTTTACGGATTTGAATAGAGCTTGAAAAATTAGTTTATAAGTTCTACAACAGTTCCCGCATTTTTCACTTGAAAAGCGCAAACTATATCGCAAGTGAAACACTTCATGTTTATATTATAAAAGACGGCGTGTTTGCAAATCATTCCTGAGTCCCAGTCCCCCCAACCGACGTATTTTCGAAACTATTTAATTATATCAAAAAAGGATGTAGAACTTATAAACCAATTTTTCAAGCTCTATTCAAATCCGTAAAGATCCCACAAGTGATATAGGCACTTTAAAGCAGTAAGCAGAAGTAAAAAGTCTAATTAAACATGTCAAAATTTTGTTACCACCATATGTGTACCTTCATTATTCCAGAATTAATCAAAATAAACTCTACCAGGACCATTTTATTTGAACCATTCTCTTCACACATCATATCCTACCTCTACTATATACAAGCCTCAGAATTACAACCCTCACCTCTAATTTAGCATAATATGTTCACATTGTATGACATTATTAAAGTTGCAGACCGTGTCTAAAATCCGCTACGGTCGAATTCTCGCAATTGAAAAGAAATCCAGCGAAAAATTTCGTTCGGTTGAAAAATTCCGCCTAGTGGAAAACCGGCTTAAAGGCGATTCTCCATTACCGTTCGCTTCACCCGCGCGGGCGAAGCGGCTTTTGAAATTCTGTCCATGCAACCGTGACGGGTCTGAAAAACAAAGCGCGCTTCGCCCGCGCGGGCAAAGCGGACTTAATGGAGAATCGCCTTAAGACAGTAAACTGAAATAAGACTGGAACGCCAGCTCTGCGTTCTAGTATGAACCGCATGAAGCCTTTCTTATAGGTATGATCCAGGCTTCCACGCGGAATTTTGAAGTAATATAGCGGCAATTATGATTATAATTTCTTTTGAAATGGGAACACTCAAGACGAACTATTTTATTTATTCTGTTGAAAGAAAATATGGAAATATTTCGCTAGCGCGCGAACTTAGGTTTTTCTATGTAATTTAGACAGGTACGAATTCTTCGATGCGAAATTAAATGTTAACCATAATTTAAAAGACAAGTCAATTGCAGAGTATTACCATGATATGAAAAGTCTTAAAAGATTGTAAATGTGCTGAAACGATTGCTCACCTTTGCATTCCCCATATAAAGAAACCGAGGAAGAACGAAAACGATTTTAGCATCATCTTGTGCATGATCACCGTTAATGCTGTGAGAATTTCTTTGACGGTAAACTAGAAAAGAAGAAAAAGTCCAAAACAAAATAATGCATATTATTTTCGTACTCACATGCAACTCAGGATCATAGTTTGTGGGAAAGAAAAGGAGAGCTTTATCAGAGCTTCTGCTTTAACTCAGCTCGTGTAGCCAGCTCACCTTTCTTTGATGAATTGTGTCTTCGTCAATGCTACCAAGTCAACAGGAAGGCTGAATATGAGTTAGAAAACACTGAAACATCATTGATATTTATCTTCCGGAATCATTTCTCTATTATGACGCGTGCTGAAACGGAAATTACGAAGAAGAATTATCAGTGGATAAATTTTCGATTAATAATAGTATAGATGATATTTGCTTAAAGCATGATTTAATTAACATATACAATTATCATATAAATGGACATATTGGCAACTATGCGATCACCAATGTACGCAGATTTTGAAACGAGAGGGCACTCTACCAATAGTTCTTGCCACGTAACAAAAAAATTGTTTCTTGCTTTCTTTTTGTCTGAGTTTCATTTGCCTTTAGATTTCGAATCCAGATTAATGTCGCTAGATAACATTAACGATTATATTGGCTATTTAAGGAGAATTGCATTGTTGTATAATTATGAATTTTATCATTGTAAAATCAGATAACTCGTTTTAAGAAAACTTTATTTACTTTTACAATGGTTTGTGCTTTTATTATCAATACTTGGTAGGTTTTGTGAGTTTTGTTTAACCGAGGAGGTGAAATTCTATTCTACGGCGCGAGTATCACGATGATGAACAGCTTTCCATGCATCTGTCTGTTTTGGCAAGGACGTGGGCGGATTCTTTTAATTTCCTTAAATTATTATATAGATTGACTTGCTAAAGGCAAGGCTTCAATAAGATATTAGCCAGGAATATCATGGGACACATGAACAGGTGAAGAGTAACCTACAAAAGCACTTACGTTGTCGAGTTATTTTTAAAGGAAATCTTTCTGTTCACAAAACAAAGATCAGTACGTAGGCGATATTTATTTAATGCATGATTTAGCATTGATCTTTATCATATAAATCGACATATTAGCAACCAATGTACGCGCATTTTGGGGCTACAATGCACGTTTCAATAGTTTCTCAATTGCTTTGTCCTCTCAGTTCTTGCCAGGTACTTTTCCTTGCATTCTTGTCACCCCTTCATTCCCCTCCAGACTTCAAATTCAGATTAGTTTTGTTATAAAAACGTCAACAATTATACTATTTACGTAATGGCTACTTTGAATAAATTTTAATTAATTTTGTCATGTGTTGTGCTTTTATATAATTATAACGATATAGATCTTTTAACTTGTTCGTTTAACTTTTAACAACCCCAGTATTTGTCATATGCACCGATCTTTTGCTATATATTTTTTGTCGAAAAGGTTGTCCTGTCCATCAGTGGTATATTTTAATGTAAAAATATTCTTTACGAATCAATAACCAACATGCAGCGTTGTTATTAAAGTGTTTTGAATTTAAAATTAAGCTCTGTAATTTATTCTGCACACCCCTAGATCCACCCACCACTGACTGTCCATATATACATAAATACCTAAATATGAATATTCGCGTAGGTTTTTCGTGGTTTTCGCCCTTCGGCGACCGACTATAAAACATCTATCAGAAGTGAATTGGATCCAACAAAATTGGATCGTGTGAACAAACATTTAAACCGTAACAATCGTTGGTTAAAGTGTCGTTGAATCGTTGAAGAATCGTTGATTAATTAACCTTCAATCCTGTCAATTCGCTATTTAAAGAGTTGCCAAGAGTGTCCACAGATCTTATAATACACTGGATAAAACACTGACAATGCATAGCTGAAATCATCAGGAATATTCAGTTTTCAGAAGCACATCAATTCATATCTAGAGGCAAAATTTCGAATCTATCGACGCCAGAGCAGTCAAATTGTACGACCGTTAAATAATCAACAAGAACATATTCATATAGGTAAAGCATTATTTGACTTTCGAAAATAAAAAAAATTAAAAGATCGCGCCGCGTTGTGCTGCGTTCTGGATTTGTAGACCGTTAAAATGTGAAAAGTAGCATGTCTTTTTAATTTTAACTGTTGCGCGATGCAGTTCTAGTTTCTATGCAGACATTAACACGTTTCTAGGGCGTGGATTCAATGTTTATGTTTAAAATTCAAACTTTGCTGACAAAAGTGTGTAAAATAGAATGCCGAAAAAAGACAGAACGTTAAAGCCACGCCCTATATCGAAACAAAATTAACGTGAAAAATATTCACATTTAACGTTTAACCAGAATCCGCAGTAACATATAACCAATGTATAAACTGGTGTTAAATACAAAATCCTACTAAAATAAATTTAAAGCGATTGGAGAATGTGAAAAAATAGAAATACTGTGGAGAAGAAATAAACTAAAAATTTATCAAAAATACGAAAGTGAATAAAAAACGCAATAAATCACCCACCTATCTCGATAGAGTTAGCAGATCTGCTAAGATCATAAGAGAAGTGCGATTTAATTTAGTAGTTTTCAATAGATCCTTTTGCGGGTTTTTTCTGATGCGTTGTCTTTGTGGCGCAAAGGGTTCATATTTGTCGTAAGAGTCCAAGATTCCTTTGTCTGAAATCAGCCGTGTGCATGCTTTGTCTTTTAGAAAATAATACAATTGATCCCAAAGACAATGGCATGGGGAAAACCCGCAAAAGTGCAATTGCTCCATAGTGAATCGGGGCGACTAAATCACTCATTCAAAAAAATGGGAAGATTAAAGGTTGCTTCTAAAGAAAGATTTCGCCCTCGGGCTTGCACTTCGCTGTAAAAAATTGTACTATCGCATGCCTAACCATGCAATGGTTGAGGTGTCTGGTATTTAATGCAAACTCGCCTGAAGTATTTTGTCGATAAATCATTATAGACACATGAATTTGAACATGAAACACCCGCATATGCATATTAAGTAGGCATAAATCACATCAGGAGAACATTCCATGAACAATGCGGCGGCGATGTCAACTTTGTATCGATAGGGATGGTGGTCAAGTTGAAGGCATCGGCGCATAATCTCTTTTAAAAAATGTAAATGTAAATAATTGCAATAAACATGTTGTAAAACCAGTGCAAGCTGTGACATGTTCGTGATTAATTGTTTTTTCTTTTGTTATGCACTGCTTAAATTAGGCTCAAAGGTGAAAATATGCGATTGTGACTAACATTTTTTATCAGCCTCGTATGTGCTCATTTTTTCATCATTTGGTATTAAAAGCATGTCATCAGATAGTTAAAAGCCTGATCTTTCCGAATGTGAAAAAAATTCGTTCATAGACTGAGTAGTTCACGTACAATAGCGTGTTGAAGTTGGATTAACTTTTTTTGATACACCCTGTATACTTATAAGCCCGTAAACAGCTTGGTCAATGCGGTTACGTCACAGCATATACATAAGATGGACAAGATGGTATTTATTGTACCGCATTTTCTCAGAGTTCACTGATTTCAAGTTTTTTGATAAACACGATTGAAAAG